TAACTTCCCTCCCACAACAATACTGCATATATACTGGTAGGAGACCAGTTGCATATCCAATCACTCCCTGTGTTTTAGAAATAATGACTTCAAAAATCTTCCAGTATTTCCATCTATGTTCTTGAAATGATATTTATACTAACAAGGGATCTTGTCTGGCCCTTATATTTGTCCTTGAACCCTAGTGCATTTTGTTCATTCAGTCCATAGTCAAGCAGCAAAAACTCTTGAGTACAGAAATCTTATGCAATTTTTTTAATGTTCTATTTAATAAAGTATACTGTAATCAACTAGAATTACAATTTTTCTTTTGTGAAATCTAGATCTGATAGATTTTTATTTAGCAAGGTAGATTATTTTGTAGCTATTGTGCACAGATTAATAGGGGAGTATTACTGCATTGGTTTAGAGATCAAAACAGCTCCCTGAATATGAATACCAACTTATAAAGTCCTATTTCTAGGACTGCTTGGAACAAATGTAAGTTACTTGAAGACAAAGAAGAGTTCTCAGCCTATTATGGAAACAGAAGAGGAGTCAGCTGAAAGACTTCAGCTTCTTAAGAGCAGTGGAACCTCTATCTTAAGTGTTGACAGCTTAGAAGCAAATGGTAAGAAAGGAGGGATATGAAACGGAAGATGGCTATCAGTGTACTCATATTCAAGTTTTCCCATATAAAGATTGCCTCATAATTGCCCTGCAGCTTCCATTACTGAAGCATGTAGCTGGATTGTTTGATACCATTCCAGAAAATTCGAATTATGGCTCTGGAGATGCCTTAAACTTTGTATACTATTCTATTGGGTGGATGAAAAATTCTTATATGACAATAAATGCATCAATTCAGTTATTTTTATTAAAATTGTGCATTATAACTAATTTATTTGTTCTTTCTATCAGAATTGATGGTTTCTGAGCTAAATCATAGTGTCTTTGGACTGGGGTTGGACACATTGGAAGAACAGGAAGAGAAAGAACAGCTTTTTGCCAGGCTTGAGAAAGGCTTGACATCATCCATTGATTATTCCAAATTAAATAAAGAATTGGATTCTGATGACTCCACACAATTTAAAGCTTTATATAGGAGTAGTTAAACTTTATAACAGACAACATTAAATCTTACCTTTTATTTCTTTTCTTATTTGTGTGTGCCTATGTACATGCAGGTGCATGTGGAGGCCAGATGTTGATGTCAGGTGTCTTCCTCTGTCCTCTCCACCTTATTTTCTGTGATGGTGTCTCAGTGAATCTGGAGATTGCCAGTTGGGCTAGTTTAGCTAGCCAGCAAACTCCAGGGATCTGCCTGTCTCCAACTCTCTGCTGGGCTTGTAGGCAGGTGCCATCACACATGGCTTTTTATGTTCTTTCCAGGGATATGAACTCAGCTCCCCATGCTTACCTGGGAAGCACTTTACTGATGGAGCCATCTCCTCTCCCCAAATCCTGTGTTTTGAACTGTATTCTGTGTTCATTTTAGTCAAGAAATGTATGAACAAAATAATGTTGCTTTGTAGTTGAACCCCCGTTCTGCCTCAGGTTGGAAAGGAATTGTCTTTTTACAGATAACTGTATTCTGTATTCATTTTAGTCAAGAAATGTATGAACAAAATAATGTTGCTTTGTAGTTGAACCCCCATTCTGCCTCAGGTTGGAAAGGAATTGTCTTTTTAGAGATAAAAGGAAAATAAAAAGCCCAGAATACTGTTAGAAACTCGGGGGGGGGGGGCAGAAAGGGCATTAAGAACAAGGAAGCAAAGCAGAGTTAATTTGAAATCTCATTCATCCTAGAAATTTTAGTTGGCTGAGCTGGCCAGTCTTTGTTTGTTTAGATTTTATTAATGCATATGACTTTTGCCTATATATTTGTATATGCACCGTGTACCTGGTACCTATCGATGTCAGAAGAGGGCATCAAATCCCATGGAGCTGGAGTTACAGGGTTGTGAACTGTCTGATGTGGGACTAGAAATTGAACTTTGCCCTCCACAAGAGTCGCAAGTGCTCCTAACCACTGAACCATCTCTTCAGCCCCAGAGTGGACCACTTTTAAGCACAGTAGCCCATTTCCATTCTTCAGACTTTGCTAAGGTCTTTAATTTCCTTGGTTTAGCTATCCACATGGTTGTTTTCTTGTAAGTGCAAATCAGTTTATGGTTTTATTTAGGATTTTGTAAGAACACAGAAGTAGAATCAAAAGAATTGTGAGACTCATAACCTCTGGTTAATTTGAGAACCTAGTCTTAGGTGATAGCAGATAAAGCAGTCTATATCCTGGCATGAGCTATGTAGGTTCTAAAACTTAGTGTACATACAAGTTTCCATGTAGATACGATAAATTTAATTCCTCAGTAAGAAACAAAAGACTTCATTTCTCACAACCACACTAGTACTTGAGTGTCACACTTGTTTGATTGGCTTTCCATGAGTCCTACAGTGACAAAGTAAAGGAATCTGTGATGGATTTCTACACACAAGTCAGTTACAAATTAAGACATGTTTGTGCTTATAAAAATCTTGATCTATATAGTAAATGGAAATAGGCCTGTTCTTTGGATAAAAACATTGTGTTATGCCTCATGATTGCTTACTTTGAACACCACCCTGAGAAATGGCTTGGCAAAGAATGATCAGGGTCTTGTGCTACTGGCATACCCAGAAAGAATATGCAGGGATACTCAAGGCCATTTGCCCCTCCCAACAGTGGCAACACAATTTAAGTATGCATAGGTTTATTGGCCTCAGTTTTTGCTCCTTTCAAGTATTCTATAACTTTTTCTTTAAGATACTCTTAACTTGGTATTTCATTCTAGAATAGACTAGTCAGAGGACAGGATAGCATTGAGTGCACAGTGTTAGATGTTGAGTGCTATTCCTACAGTCTTAGAGACTCTTAGGTGTGCTGAGTATCTCACTAAAGACACAATTAATGGACTGGAAAAGGTAGAACTGATTCCTTGGTTTAGGTGAAAGCCAGATATGAGCTGATGCATCCAATTTAGTTAAAATGTGCTTAAGCTTCTTTCTCCCCTTGCTGAAGTGTTTCTTGGATTAAGGCCCCATCATCTTCCGTTTAGGATTAGATTGCTTTTTAGCATGTGTGTGCTCATCTTGCTTTGTGGGGTTTCGTTGGCCTTCCTGTAAATGTCACTTAGTTTTCATAGTTTGTGATCCATTCCTAACTTTAATGAAGAAAGGATGCCTGGTTCATGGAATAGTATGCATATGTGTTAATGCACACACTTATGTATAAAATTGTGTACATTTGTATATGTATTTAAGCAAAATAGCATTTTCCTTTGCTTACTTGGGCAGCTACAATTAGTTTTAGTTTTTAAGAATATTTTACTTTCAACATTTTCCTTCCATCTCCTCAATTTTTAGCTTTGTGTATAGAGCAAGGGTACTTGAGAAGACATAATTTTAGAAAATTTAAGATAGATAATGCAACATGTATTGTATGAAAATATGCTAACATGTAATATATGTTAAATATTTTCCAGTTATCAAGCTAATGCAGAACTAGCTGAAGATGAACATAAGAATCCATTGAAACATGAGGAACTGCCAGGTAATTTCATTGGCTTCAAATTTGTGATATTTGAGAAAATGGTATAACTTCTAATACAGACATTGCTAAGAGCAGTACTGAAAACATGAAGCATATGGTCTTGGGAAGTGCTCTGAGCAGGTGGAATGCAGAGTACTTGTTACAATCTCAGTTACTAAGGAGTTGTTAAAAGGGAACTGTGACCTCATTTGTGGAAACCAATCAGCAGAGCAACGGAAAAGACAGGGAAAGGGGATTTGTGCCAGGACTGGACATCAGAAGCCAGAACAAAACCTGCAATGCATGTTGCTGGGAAGCAGGAATCTTCTCCATCTCCTGACTACTATATAGTCCTGGCTGGCTTGGTGCTCAAGAAGCAGAAGCAGGCAGATCACTGCTAGATCGAGGCAAATCTGGTCTCCATTGCAAGTTCCAGGCCAGTTGGGGCTACCGGGAGACCCTGTCTCAAAAAAATAAAACAAATAGATGAGCCTTATTCTGCAGATAGTTAATCCTGCAACTTGATCTTTTTATAGGTGCAAGGTCTTTGTACAATGGTGTTGTCTCTTCGGAGGTTTCTTGTAAAGGTTCCTGATCATTGAGAACCTTCCTCTTATACAGCTTGGAGATCAAACATCTCTCTGCATTGTGTCACCTGGGGATTGTCCAGCCTATGGTCTCCTAGTTCTTGGTACAGCCTATACAAAAGGCTTAGTGTCTAGTAAAGACCCAGAAGGACCTTCACCTCCACCAATACAGATTTCTTCTGGAATATTTCTAGATAGGTCATACATGCCTCCTCTCAATACTGCCCTGTGACTTCTGATTGTCTTTGGCTTTTCTGGACTCTGTCTTCTGAACCCAGTGAAAACCTGCCCCCCTGACCCACTACCATACACTCCATACTTCAGCAGTGGGGGGCTTACCTCATTTGTTTGTGTTTATTAGGAATGACATTCTTTCCTGTCAGTTGTTCAGTGTCTAAAAAACAATTATTTCATATATTTTGTCTAATTCTTTACAGTGGAGGTTACAGCAAGGCCTTTCATTCTAACAGGACAGAGGCAGTCTTTCAGATTGCATTATACTTAAAGTTCATAGATAAACTTGCCAATAGAGGATGAAAAATGTCTCCAAAATGAAGCTTTTGGACCTCTGCATTTGATATAGTTTACTTTATCTGAATTAAAGAACATTTTATGTCCATGATAATTTATTCTATTTTTCAAACATACATTTTCAAAATTCTGTATTTTCAAAAATATGTAATATATTTGAAGTTACAAGAGTGGAGAACATTTTTAATTTTAACATTCTCCTACCCAATGGTTAGAGCAGCATAAGTTCATACTCTCATTGTTGGCCAGAACAGAGTAGGAGAGACTGGTTAACTCTGATGCTCTCATAGAAAGATCGCCTCAGTTTGGCTGCTTCTTTCATTTTTATGTAAGCTTAGTTCACTTTGATGTTTCTGAAATCTCTGACATGCTATTTTCCTTCCCTTTATTTCTTGGTTTTTTGTTGTTTTTTTTTT